GGAATCTTGAGCTGACTAAAATATAGTCAATCTGACTGGCTGTATGGCCGTCTTTGGCGATTAAAAAGCAGGAATTTCAAAACTAGAGTAACTACCAGAACATACACATGAAACGCTAGGGGACTCACGTATGAGTCGAACCCCTGGCAACTATGTCATTTACCGGCGGAATATCGACGAAACACGGGTTAGGACTCTCAATATGGTGTGCCATGCAACCCTTATATACACTACTAGCTACCTCCTGGTAGTTCAATACATATTACAGGCTTATACCGTTGTGCCTGATAGAAGTCGGTCCAAATATGCATATCAACTTTCCATCTACGCCTATAAAGCATCCTATAGACTAGCCAACTCCAAGTTGGTTCCCGAGGAAATAAAAAACTCAGAACTTCATTTGCCTGACATCCTGCATTCATACTCCCACGCAGCATCCGAGACAGCATCAGATACGAGTGCCCCTTGTTGTTATTATAGTTCAGTTAAATGCACTTTACACAAACAGGACCGGCAACGATGGACCGAAATCAAACATGCATCCAATGCTGACCAGCTCCGTGACAGGAAAGTTAATTCCGTTGAAAAAAAGAAGGCCAACGTCAACACGCTTGGACGTATTGGCGATTTAAAAAAGAGAGATGATTAAAGTATATGCAGTCCAAGATTGAGCGAGAGGTCTTACCTTTCGGAAAATGTCCTTTTCTTCTATATATTTAAAGAGGGTGATGGAAGCAGTGAGCTTGGCCTCCAGTTCCGCGTCACTGTAGTGCTTCGGAGACTTACGCAACAACGTGTCCATGTAGCGGCTGAGGTATTCGGCGGCCCGAACATTTGATCTAAAAAGAATTTAAAGAGTTGATTTGGGGGAAGCTACGGTATGAGACACTGGTGGACATTGGACAACATTGTGATACTGGGATAATGAGAATTTGAGTGAGAGCAAACAAATGACAACTTGTATTCAAAAATTGAAACGAATGTGGTATAACAAAAAAGGCGCGGAGAACCTTGGCAGAACCGCTGATTTCGGACTGGCGTTGACTGCTTGGGCAAATGCCTTGTCCATTTCGTTTCTGAAGGAGGACATGCTCTCGAAGACCTCATCAATAAAGGTGACGAAGCGCGTACGTAGGTCAAGAAGACTCTCAACGAAGTAACTCGGGGCAAGCTAGAAAGAGGAAGCGGCGAATTAAATATCGGAGTGGCGGGAATTTTGTCAAAGTGCGAATTTAGCATAGCAAATCAGTCTCTATAGGAAAGGGCACAAGGACATTAAAATAGTTGGAGGGGCTTCTGATGTCACTATGGAGGTAAGAGTTGTCCAACCGACGGTTTAGAACTTTAAATACCTGTGGAGGACCGCAG